GATTCGAAACAAAATCTTCTTTTAATTGGTGATACAAACATAGACCTCAAATCCAGTTTACCATTTAGAGATATATATTTAGAGTCACTTAGTAAACATGGTTTAATGTGTGGAATAACTGATTATAGTAGAATCGAAACAAGAATGAATGTTATGACCAAATCATGTATTGACCATATTTTTGCGCGGTTTCCAACCATGCACCCGTATTCTGCGGTGCTAGATGTCGTACTAGCCGATCACCGCGCTATTGTATTCGCGTGCATCGACTATAACCAACCCAAGTATATACAGCGTGTTATTAAACCAATTATAAATTATGATATTCTTTGCGAGGAACTGAAAAAAGTTAACTGGTTCCTAACTTCAAATATGTACTGCCCTAACAAAATCTTTAAATTCATTAATAGCTCTTTTAATAATGCTAATAAAGTAGCAACTTCTATGAAAGCTGTTCGGCAAGAAAATAATAAAGGATTAAAACTACCTTGGATAGACAAAAATGTAACAAAATTGTGCCAAAAGCGTGATAAATTATTTAGATCTTGGAAAAATAGCTTAAATGATCCTAAGATAAGATTAGAATATAATAAAACTCGTAATAAAGCACATAAAATAATAGAAATAAAAAGAAATTCCTTTTATATTCAACAAATACAGAATAACTTTAAAAACACAAAAAAAGTTTACGAAATCCTAAACAGAATGTTAGGCCGTGTAACGTTATCAATAGATGAAGCGATACTTAGAGCATTCGATGCACAAGGATTAAGTAATAAAGATATCGCCATCAATTTTGCCACTAACTTTGATAATGCAGTGAAGAATATCACTCCGAAATGTACTGTCAGACTTTTAGATCCAGGAAGCTATAGTAAACAAACTAACTGCAGCATTTATTATCAAAAAGCTTCAAGTGAAAAAATAAATAAAATTATCGATAAATTAGACTATAGAAAAGCTCCAGGTCTTGATAACATTAAAGTGTCAGATATTAAAATAGTTAGTAAGGCGGTATCGGTAGCTATTGCTAACCTCATAAATTCTAGTGTTAAAACTGGCGTATATCCCGATGAACTAAAGATTGGTTGTGTTAGACCGGTATTTAAGAAAGGGTTAAGAAATAATTATTTAGACTATCGTCCCATTACCTTACTTTCTACAATAGACAAAATAGTTGAAAAATATGTTTGCGAACAAATTCATAAATTTTATCGTAAGCAAGATGTAATTTACCAAAATCAATTTGGTTTTCAATCGGGTAAAAGTACTAGTCAGCTGTTATCTAAATTTACAGATGAGATTAATGAACATCTCAATAAAAAACAATACGTGTTGGCTTTATTCATAGACTTTTCCCGTGCTTTTGATACCCTAAAACATGCACAAATAATTACTAAACTTGATGAGTCTGGTGTACGTGGGCCTTTACTCAACTGGTGCAAGAACTATTTACAAAATCGTAAATTCACCGTTAAAATAGATGATGTATACAGTGATCATGTACCAGTAACTGAAGGTACGGCACAAGGATCTGTATTAGGTCCGCTACATTTTTTGTCTTATGTTAATAATATGCATAATATCTTGAAACACAGTTCATGTTACCAATTTGCAGATGATACGTGTCTAGTATTGTCTGACAAAAATATTCAAAAAGCACGAGACCTTCTACAATCTGATGTCAATGTCCTTCTTGAATGGTGTCATGATGCCGGATTGGTATTAAATCCAATTAAAACACAACTTTTGATCATAAAATCACCCTATTTAAAATTTCGTCCTCTATATAAACCTATCATTGCTCACAACCACAAGTGTCTACATATAACTAATGAAAGGAACTTTTGCAGCTGCCCCGCTATAACGGTCAAGGACAGCCAAACATATCTTGGCTTAACTATAGATAGTAAGTTTAATTGGAGTAAACACATCGAAAAAATTTGTAACAAATTAAGACAATTTTTAGCTAATATAGTCATCCTTAGACACCGAATTCCCTTTAAAGTAAAACTGATGCTGTATAATTCATTGGTCGAATCTTATGTTCAATATGGGTTGTCAAGTTATGGCCGCACTTATAAAACATATTTAAATGATATTTTTAAACTTCAACGTAGAATTTTAAGAACTATTGTATCTCCCAAAATTAAGATGCAGTATTATGACGATGATACTGGTCTTTTTCGACATTGCAATATTTTACCTGTACATCTACAATTTAAATACACATTTCTTAAGGAAAACTTTTTTAACAATAAATATTGGAACGAAATTAATCATGCTGTATATACGAGGGCGGTCGCACGGAAGCAACTTTGTACCAATAGCGCTCGCGTAAATAACTGTTATGGTGAGCGTACGGCTGACTACCTGGTTCCTCGATTTATTAATGAACTACCCACCGATGTACGAGATAATATTACTATTAGCAACATCAAGTGTAAATTAAAACGATACTTCTTGCATGGTTTTAATACAATCTAAATAATTTTAATGTATTTAGTATTAATATAAACCTACGTGGTTTCTAAATGCTAATGGAACATAAATTCTGTAACTTGTATTTTTATTGATAATAAAATAAAAAAAAAAAAATAAGAAAAATAAAATTATTAAAGTTTTAGTTATATAAAGAAAACTGGTATTGTGTATGTTAAGTGTAATTATGAGTATAATTACAGAAGAAAAACGAAAAAAAGTTAACCCCTGTCGGTTTTTTGTCACGTGTGTATGTTTTAATGGTTATATGATTTAAATAATTCCTGATATCAGTATATATAATAGAAATTTAAAAAATGACGACCGAGATTTTTGATAGAAAAATGAACAACATATATGATGAGATCCAATACGGACACTTTTATGAAATTTTGGTTATGTCGGTATCGTATTTCCACAATAAAGCCGGTGAATTTTCGTTTCGTCTTACGAAAATTTTACAGGTTTTTTACGCATACGAATTTATATAATTTTGTTTTATAATAGCTTATCTTTTACCTCTTTGAGTAACAATTACAGTCACTATTTTTATTATATATATTCTTTAACATATATACGATGATCTTCGCCTGGAGTATCCATGTCTTTAGTTTTCAGTCCACGAGTTACTCATGCTATCTTTATGCACGATGTTATCTTTATGCAGCCGAATTTTTAGCTTTATTATATAGTCTTGGGTCGTCATTGCACAATCTGTCTAGGTTGAACACGGTTAGCATGTTTTATGCTACCCTTAATGATGACCACTTCTGCATACTGCGCAACCTTGACTGTCAGATCTTTCAGTTGTCATTTTTAATTTCAGGTATACCAATTATTTCTAAATTAAGCATACGCTCCCTTTGTTGGTAGATGTTTATTTCATTTCTTAGCTAACCCACCTGGTTATTTAAACTATAAACGTTTTCATTCGTTTTCATTAAAGTTTTATTTGCCGATTCTAACTCGCATACTCGCTTTTGCACATCGCACTGTAGGTTAGTTAGACTTTCATACCACCATACCATCATTAAAATCATGTATGTCTTTAATAATTTTAGTTTGGCATACCTGCAGTTTTGAGATTGTTGATTCGAATTTGTCGGAGTTTTAATTTTTTCGAGAAACTTTTCAAATAATCACTCAATTTGTTCGCAAACAAAATCTTCTGGTTGTTTTCTTTTTCGAGATGTGAATCTCATTATATTTTCAGCAGTTAGGATTGGATTTGATGAATACTTTGTGGGAGTTCTCTGCACCGACATGATTACGAGTATGATTTGATATGATGATAGCAACAGTAGTCACTGGGAATTGTGATTTTTTTTATATATAATATTTATATTTAATTAGATCAATTTTAACGTATTTTTAATTTTAGAGTATAAAATTCAAGTTTTAGACTGTAATTATCTGTCAATTTATCTGGTGGGTTTTATAGGAGAAATCTAGGTGTGGCAGGGATAACGAAAAGGATTTGAGGACTCACCGTCTTGTCGTGGGCTATCATATGATGTCCTGTGCAGGCGCCTTGATTTCTTCCGTCACTTTGTCACCAATGTACACACACTAAAATATTGTCTATAACACAGCACTTCAAAATTATGTAAGCGGCAACGCTTTAAATGTTACAGTTTGCAGCACAACAATTTTATTAATATTTTCTTAAACACGTAATTACTCGTTGATTGCGGAGGTCACATTGACGGTTAGGATTGAAGACAGCTCTGAAGTTTCTTATAATCTTCCAGCGTCCTCATTGGTTGTTATAACTCGGAGGTAAAGACGATGACGGTGATTGGAGAGGATAGGATCAAGGGAAATGAATTTAGCACTAGGTATCGATTATTATTATTGAACTAGCATATATAATGAGAATAAATTTATAATTGTTACGAAAAATATATAAAATTAAAGAAACGCGCGAACATGCACCCAGCCTTGAGAATACGTAGTATTTTCAACCTAGTAATATATTAAATAAGAATTTGAGAAGATTTAATTAAATTATTGAGATGGTAAAGAGCAAAGTTTTATTACGGGACGTTTGTATATGCCACTACATGTTTTTACTAACGCGACGCGTACCCTACCGTCTGTCCCGGGATAAGTTTCCATAATTATGCCCATAGGCCAACGCAATGGAGGTACATCGTCTTGATGTACTAACACAACCGTGCCGGGTTTTATATTTTCAGTACTAGCAAGCCACTTCTGTCGTACCTGTAAAGTATTAAGATACTCCAAACGCCACCTTTTCCAATAGCTGCTAACTATATTATCAAGTAGCTGCTTACGTTGTCTAAGACTTCGAATGTCCTCGGATACGTTTTCAATGGGTAAGTGCAAAAGGGGGGAGGCCATAATGAAATGCGCAGGAGTTAGCGGTTCAGGATACGGTTCCTCCGTTAGTACGCAGAGAGGTCTTGAATTTAAAATTGTCTCTATTTGTGTTAAAACAGTTAACATTTCCTCGTACGTGAGTAATTGAGAACCGATTGTACGGAATAAATGGGTTTTTATACTTCGAATATTTGATTCCCAAGCCCCCCGAAGTGAGGGGCGCGGGGCAGGATCATATGCCATTCAATACGGTTATTAAGCATAAGATCATGGAGTTGAGCTTTTGCACCAACGAAATTTGTTCCATTATCAGAATAAAGACATGAGACCGGTCCACGCCGTGATATAAAGCGTTTAAAGGCAGAAATGAATATATCAGATGAAAGGTCTGTGGCTAACTCGATATGCACGGCTTTTGTTACAAGGCAAATAAATAGGCAAATGTAAGCCTTTTGTGACTTTTGACCACGGTGTCTGCGTAACGTTATTTTTATAGGTCCAGCGTAATCCACGCCGGTGTGCACAAAGGCTTTCGTTTCACGCACGCGGTACGGAGGCAAGTCCGCCATTTTTGGCGCCTTGCTTGATGGAGAAGCTTTAAAACACTTGTTACAGGAGTGGACTCTTTGTTTAATTACACTTCTGGCTGATATAATCCAATATTTTTGTCGTAGTAATGAAGTCAATAATGAAGCACCAGTATGACAGTACATACGGTGATAATTGTCTATAAGCAGGTGAGTAATATGATCATGTTTAGGCAGTAATGCGGGATGCTGAGCTTCGAAAGGTAAGTTACTATTAGATAATCTTCCTCCTACTCTAATAACTCCACTTTCATCGATAAAGGGGTCAAGTTTACGAAATTGTGATGAAGGTAAGTTATTTTTATGTATATCTTGAAAAAGCGATTGAAAATATAATTGTTGAACTCCGCGAATAAGATGCATTTCTGCGACGTTTAAATGTGAAGACATGATGCGAGTACTACACGGTATTAATTTTGTAAATTTAAGTATATATGAAATAATGCGTAATATTTTATTCCAGGAGGAGAACTTCAGCGCAAGCTGGTGTAATATAGAGGCGGGGGCGGAGGTAGTACAGGTAAGGGTATTACTTTTTATTTCAGGTAACTGCTCACAATTCACTGGTTTAAATGGAGATATTGGCCATTCGGCCAGAGGGCGCTGTAACCAGACGGGACCGTGCCACCATAAAGGATGCGATATCAACTGGTCAGGTAATAAACCTCTAGACAGACAGTCACTAGGATTATCTGTCGTGTTTACGTAATAAAAATGCGAAGAGGCAAGATTTTCTTGACACTTTGCTACGCGGTTACTTACAAAAACGTTCCACCTATGTGGTGAAGAATGGATCCATGAAAGGGCGATTTGTGAATCGGAAAATGCAAAGATTTTATTAATATTAATGCGGGAATTATACGTGTCTAAGACCAGCTTTACAAGTTTTGACATTAAAACAGCAGCACATAATTCCAGTCTAGCAAGAGTTACCGTTTTTGTAGGTGCGACTTTAGATTTTGCACATACTAAAGCGACATGCACTTTACCTATCGGATCCGTGACGTGTAGGTACACTACGCATCCATACGCCTTCATGCTGGCATCGGAAAATGCAACTATGTTGGTAGTACAACCAACTTCCACATTAACGTGTCTAGGTATCTTCAACGAAGAGAGATGTTTTAATTGTTGTATAAAATTATGAAAATTTGTTTGTATATCCATTGGTGGAGCATCATCCCAACCAATGTGTTGGATCCACAATTCTTGTATTAAAAGTTTAGCAAAAAGAATTACTGGTGCAGCGAATCCTAAAACATCCCATAGACGGGCAATAGCCGAGAGGATAGTACGTTTAGTACATTTCTCGTCTATAGAGCATGTTGAAAAAGTAAACACATCCTCAGAGGGAAGCCATTTCAATCCGAGTATTTTTATACTATCATTATTCGAAAAATTAATAGCGGTTCGGTTAGATTCAGGAACAGCAGATAAAAGATCCACAGAGTTACTCGCCCATTTAGTCAAATGAAAGCCGCCCTCCTTAAATAATGCAATGAGTTCGCGTGACAAAACCACTCCTTCCTTAAATGTCGAGACGGAGGTAGCCAAATCGTCCATATACAGTTCATTAGTCGCTACATCAGCTGCACGCGGGTACCCGGTCCTCTCATCTTCTGCCAACTGCCTAACAGTACGCATGGCTAGGTATGGACTGCATCGCAGCCCGAACGCGACACGATTAAACTGAAACTCACGAATAGGCTCTGTAGAATTAAAACGGTACAATATCTTTTGATATTTTCTATGTTCCTTACGAACTTCGATTCTTAGATACATTTGTTTTATGTCGGCGGTTAGTGCAATAGGAAATAAGCGAAAGTTCAATAAAAGAATTAATATATCGGCTTGTAAGTTGGGTCCCGTATGTAATATATCATTTAGAGATATGTCATTATGACACTTGGCGCTTGCGTCAAGGACTATGCGTAATTTTGTCGTCTCTTTATCATTCCTAATGACGGGGTGATGAGGTATGTAATACCCTTTACCATATTCGTTACTAGTGGGCAGAACTTCCGATAGGTAATCGTTGATAAGATATTCTTGTATGATCTCATTGTAACTAGCACGAAGAACAGGATCTTTCAATTTACGTTCTAAAGAGAGTAAGCGACGAGTAGCTACAGAACGGGAATCACCCAATATGGAGGGATCCTTAGAAAATGGCAGTGAGGTACAATATTTACCCGTAGAATCACGTGAAATTGTGTCACAGTATATTTGCTCGCATTCAGTCTCCTCCGGACTCATAAACCTTTTTGAAGGAACTTCTTCCAGTTCCCAAAATTTACATAATGTTTTATCTAAATTATCATTTTGTGTTTCCTGTTCCGAACATATGAGAAATGTTGAAGAGGCGGGTGCCGTATCGGAGTCAGCGGTTGAGGCGACTTCCCCTATAAGAATATATCCGAATACGGTTTCAATAGCGGCCGGTGCGGGAGGTGCAATAATTTTACCACCTAATAATAAATATGGGAACAATTGAGCCCCAAGTACGAGTTCAATCTGTCCAGGCGTATGCCATAGTGGATCAGCAAGCGGTATATTTAATAAACTACTAATAATCGTTGCATCGATCATGACGGAAGGCATATTCTCCGTTATGACGTCGACGACAAGCGCATCAATAGTGTAATTATACAAGTTATTTTTAGAAGAAACACACAGCGGAACCCAACCGCGAACGGTCTGCGATGCGGATCCTATACCTTTAATAGATGTATGTACATTAAGTGGAATTGGTTTTAAATTAAGGCGTTTACAACAAGCGGTTGTCACGATATGGTTTTGTGACGCGTTATCAATAAGACATCTAACATTTAACTTCTGTTTACAATCATTTAAAACGTTTATCTGTGCCGTGCTAAGCAATATTGTATTGTTGTTATTAATAACATGCGCGCGGGCACACAATGAAACTTGGTTATTAACGCACGGAGTCAGCTGAGTCGGCGGCGGGAGCTGCGCGATTGGCGGGGTTACCGCTAGCGGCGGGTGCGCGGGGCAATTACACAAAGTATGAGCGGGAACCTCAGCTGTGCTAACCGACGGCGCTGCAAGTAATGCGTGCGAGCAGGACGGCGGCGTAAAGGGTTGTTTTCGATTATTTAATTTATTGCTCAGACTAGTTTTATGTAATAGTGTATGATGTTGTTTGTTACACATTTTACAGTAATGCGAAGAATTACAACGCGACACAGTATGTGACATACTCAAACAATTTATACATGCACGTTTGTTTTTGATAAACTCAAAACGTTGTTCGACCGGAAGCGATTTGAAGGTTGTACATTGGTATAATTGCAAATGATCACCATTGTTGCACATTGAACAAGATGCGATATTATCACGTGATAGCAAAGTTTTAGAGTAGTGGACTGTATTGTTATGACGCGGGCTGGCTACGGTAGGTATAACCGTAGGGCGGTTACTAGTACGATCTAATATCTTTACTTGACCTTTAATAAATTCGACAAATTCCGAATAAGAAGGGATTTCCTTATCTCTAATTGCCATTTCAAATGCCTGTGCGGTTACTGAGTCTATTTTTCGTAAAGCAATAGTTAATAGCATGAAATCTTTAAGATCGGTAATTTTTAGCTGTTCTAAGGCCGACACCGCGGCGCTAAACGATTCAATAAACGTGTCAAGCGAAGCAGCATTATTAATAGCAGGTTTTATATTCATTAAAATAGACATGTAATGAGATCCTAATGCTCGTTTGTCTTGGTACTTATTAACTAAACTTTGCCAAATACTAGCGTAGTTCTCTCCGGCTGGTACAATACCGGCCGTCAGTTTTAAAGCAGGACCTGACAATTTACCCAACAGATAATGTAATTTCTGTGAATCAGATAGACCTTCATTATCATGTACATTAATCTTGAAACACTCGTAGAAGCTTGGCCAAAGCTCAACCTGGCTATTAAACGATTTAAGCTCAATAGGGGGAGGGGTATCCCTGACCTTCCCTCCTGGACCTTCATCCGAGAGCCCTGCGACTGCGATTGCATCAATTGAGAACGAACTCTTTGAATTCGCGTATAAATATCTTCAAATGCGGTAAGTTGAGAATAATTAGGTACATACGTAGGATCCTCATCAATTTTATATTGATTTATCGTATCTATATTAGCAATAAATTCATCACGAATCACAGACAATGTTTCTGTGTCCGCCATGAACGCCTCCGTAGAACGAAGCTCAGGACTAGAAACGTTTACCTTTTTTGCCGAATCATGCAGTCTATTTATACGTTGGAAAATACAATTAATTTTAGCGTTTAATATAGAAATTTTTGCATTCATTTTTAGAGATGACAATTAGCGTTAGATATAAAATTTGATGAATATTTGATTTGATATTTGATGAATTAAACGAAATAAAAAATGAACTACCGACAAATGAAATAAAAAAGTATGTGGGTACACAGATGCGGCTTACCAGTACTCGAAAATAAAATCGACAGGTATGTAGCGGTATTAAAGAAATATTGCGATTGGTATGTAGGCATATAAAGAACAATGCGGTTTTAGCGATGAATGTGACTAATTATATTTACGCGGTTTATATTGATATAGAAAAGGTAGATATATATATTTTTTTGTAAAGCGGTTAATTATTACTGCGGTATTGAATATAAACTAGGATATGTATTTTAGCGGTTGTGAATTAGAAAATAATAGAAATAATAACACGTTGTGCTGGTGGGCGGATGCGATCAATTATTAAGAGGGTACAAAATGGCGGATGCCGTGTAATATTAAGATGATGAAATGCTAGTTCAAGCTAGTTTTTTTTTTTTTTTTTTTTTTTTTTTAAATCCGTTTCGATAGGTACCATCAAATGGTGGGTTTTATAGGAGAAATCTAGGTGTGGCAGGGATAACGAAAAGGATTTGAGGACTCACCGTCTTGTCGTGGGCTATCATATGATGTCCTGTGCAGGCGCCTTGATTTCTTCCGTCACTTTGTCACCAATGTACACACACTAAAATATTGTCTATAACACAGCACTTCAAAATTATGTAAGCGGCAACGCTTTAAATGTTACAGTTTGCAGCACAACAATTTTATTAATATTTTCTTAAACACGTAATTACTCGTTGATTGCGGAGGTCACATTGACGGTTAGGATTGAAGACAGCTCTGAAGTTTCTTATAATCTTCCAGCGTCCTCATTGGTTGTTATAACTCGGAGGTAAAGACGATGACGGTGATTGGAGAGGATAGGATCAAGGGAAATGAATTTAGCACTAGGTATCGATTATTATTATTGAACTAGCATATATAATGAGAATAAATTTATAATTGTTACGAAAAATATATAAAATTAAAGAAACGCGCGAACATTATCTGTAATAGTAAAGTAATAAAGTAATTTATGTGTCTATTCAATTTATACTCGTACCCATCGCAATTCACATGTAATATGGTGATCAAAATATAAGCGGTTAAATCAAATCAAATAGTTCTTAATGAAAATTATTATTATACTATTAAATTTGTATAAAATCTAATTAAGAAATTGGAAAATGCAATCGAAAGTAGTGTATATTCTATTACATATCTATTGGAAGTCCTCGAAAGATCTACTTTCTAAATTGTTTACGATTTCGGCGAATATAATCGCATTTCTACCATTTAAAATGAATAGTTGTATTTTTTTCAATAACTATTAACATACCAAACTTACTAAAATCGTTTACTTCCAAAATATGCCCAATATCCATAAAAGAGATTTTTTTACATTTTAACCATTTCTTACTTTTCCTAAAGTCTTTCTTCCCATCAAAACAGCAAGAGAAAGCCTTATTTTTCTGATATTTTGATAAATACGACGTCATCAAAATGTGTATCCCAAGGTAAACATGGCTTATTCTTATTTCATTAAATTCTATTCACTTATATTAAAAATATTTATTCAATAAATTAACAGAATTTAAATATTTTGTTGAAATTATCACAGAACTGCTCTCTAATTAAAACAAAAATATAAATTAATCGAAACATCCAATTATTTAGTCATTTTTTTATTTATACTATTGGATATTGACAGACTATCTTATAATCTGATCAATTATTCGAAAATAGATGTCATAATTATACTTATAATCTTACTTCTTATTTATATAATAAAATTATGTCTATACGTGAAAGATATTTGAAAAAAAATATGTATACAACACATATATATATATATATATATATATATATATATATATATATATATACATATGTATGTATATATATATATGTGTGTGTATAGGTTTTTATATAATAAAAGATACAATAAAAAATAGAATAGAATTTTGATATGCCATCTAGAAGGGACCTATTTCATTAATTTTCGTATTTCTGGATATCGCATGATATAATGTATGAAGTAACTAGCAAAATGCTAGTAAAGTTATATAAGTACATCTTTTTTTATCACCTTATATCAAAATATAGTATACATTTTAAGAACTAAATCAGGCTTAATAGAGCTTAATTTATTCCGGCTAAATCATAATTCAATTTTAATTAGTATTTAGTTTATATAATTCTACTCGAAAAAATTCATAGAATCGCCATAACAGTATTATACTATAAATAATATTTTCGAAAGAATTTAGTGCGAAAAGGGGTTTTACAACAATAAGTAGCTTTTGTAAAATAAAAGCAAATAGTTTCTTAGTAATACAGTTTTAATATAACATAAGTTACCTTCGTTTTATATCTTGATGTTGTTGTGTAGACGTCATGATTTTACAAAAAATTAAATATTATTTTGGCATGTTTCAAATCTATTAAACGATAATAATAATAATAGTAACTTATTTGCCAGAAACATAGATAATATGATGTTACAGTTTATTTTTTAATGTTCAGCATTTTTCGCCATATTTAATAGATTGCAAATGTTTATAAGTACTGTCCATCAAACATAATGAATCCGTTACATTATATTTTTAATATAATTAACATTGATTAACATTCTAATATTAAATTATTTCAAATTAATATTTATAAGAATACTTGTGTCAATATATTTAAATCCAGAACAAGTCCAAAATTAAAATCCCAAAATATAATAAATGGTGAATGTGAATGTGAGAAAGACTTTGTTTTCCGCGCTTAGCCTCTCATTTGGGCCGTTGTGCGTATGAGTCGTGGCTAGTACAGCCAACCTAGCTCCGCCCAGAAGCGCAGAAACTTCCTGGGTTCTTCACAGGCCTCACGGAGCGACCTCACCGTTCCGAGGATTTTTAAACGTTGATGGGCCACAACCTCACATTCCAGGATTACGTGAGCAGCCGTTTCTTCAGCATTGAAACAGCCTCGACATAGAGGGCTGTCTGTGGCTCCTATTGTGTATAAATGTTTGTTTAATGGACAATGGCCCGTTATTGTCCTTATCATTATTTTGAGGTTTTTTCTATCTAGATGTAATAAACTTTTTGATAGTCATTGATTCAACGTAGGTACGGCCAATTTTGATTGTCTGCAATCAGTAGCCTGTATCCATCTTTGATTTTGTATGTCAGCGGATCGTTGACGAATCCATATTCGAAATTGCGAGAACGGAAGAGGAAGAAGTGGATACGAGCCTACCACCCTCGTTCCTGAGCCTCTTCTAGCCAGTTCGTCAGTCTAATCTGTGTATAAAACATCTCTTCGTTCAGCAGTATGATTAGTCATAATTTTAGAATTTAATCATAGGATATCTTTCGATACACGGCATAGCTGGAGCATGATGTACGTAACTTTTGTTGAGATATGGTTCCATAGCTAGATAGCGTAGCTCACTTTAATTACACAGTGTTACTTGTATATCTTATACTTATACTTGTATATCGCGGCGTAGCTACGCTTTGTTACGAATCGGAACTGCCAGTTTTCACTGACATAACGTTACTTGTACTCAATATTAGGTACTGTGGCCAAATTATGAAATTGTTTTCTAGCTTCGTCCACGTGATATAACCAAACTTCATTCAAATTCTTCTTTCGTATATTGCATGAAAATTATCAAATATTAAAAATAATAATGACTTAAACAATATAAACATTTCAATAATTATTTAGATGACTTATGTTGTCTATGTATTTTTGAAAACTATTTATTACAGAACATATTTTGACATTATTAAAAAATATTTTGTAACTTCTTACTATATTTTCTGATAATTTTAATGTATAAGCGATTATTTAAACATAGACTAAAGTTAGAAATAGAAATATAGGTAAATATTCAGTTTAACCGTCTCTAAAAAATAAGAAAATTACAGTTCAAGCTCTATTTTAGTATTGTATATATCTTAAATATCATCCTTAATACTTCTGTAAATTAAAAATAATATTTCATTATTGCCGTTCTTTTTGCATTAATAAATCATCAAACATAAAATAAATATATTTTATATCTACACACAGACTTAGTATAAATCTCAATCAATAATCTGTTACAATTATAATAAACAGTCAATATTAAAATAATGAATAGCGCTGAATTCTATTCTCTATTGAATACGCAATTTTATTTACTGTAAAATGAAGAATGTGAGTATGGTATACCACAATAGTGGCTAAATAAATATACAATCCGCCTAATCACAAATGATTACCCTAGTCTATGGACATCTGCAATACTATGGGTGCCACGTCTGTGTTTCGGGAATTGCGTCTCGACTTTTGCACCTTATCAATAATTAACTAGTATTTAAATAAGATTATAATATGATGCCAGCTCTATTTGAGTAGATACAGTAGAATCTCGTTCATGTATATTCGATTATCCAGACTTATACATTCTCTCGACTCTAATTACCGATTTAAAAATGATATTTTTTTATTAATATTTACCTATAGATAATGTATTACATAGGTAGTATGTAATATATTATCTATAGGTCACATTTTTTTATGTCGTATTGACTAAATGAATGTATTTAAACCCCTTTATATAATAAAAAAAATATTAAAATTTAATTATTGTTTCATTTGACTTTGAAATTGATTATCTATATTTTCGATTATATGGAATACCTCTGGTTTTATTTGATTCGGATAATCAAGATGTACTGTACTTAGAAAAAAGAATACTGACAATAAAAATAATATTTCATTCTGTGGTGTTATTTTGATTTATCTTGCAATTGCCCAATTTTGGGAAGCACGAGCTTGAAAAATGTAAAATCACCATTGACATGAAGACGATAATTTTTTTCTCAGCATCGTAAAAACCCGAATTGTTATGTAATCATTTATAATATTGATAACGTGATGAAACACTAGTAGTTTATTATAGTAACAACGTACGTAATAGTTTACATAGTAACTATTATTTCCCAAAGCACACGAACATTTATAATAAATTATTTCCAAAACCATTTCTTAATACTGTAGTTATTATTTACAAGAAATCCCTGTACAAAATTGCCTGTTACTGAAACTAGCAATTTCGGCTCAATATTGAATAGTCTATTTCTTCCTTAAAATTATTCTATTATAAATATACAAAAGTGTGAATAGGATTACATAAAAGGTAACGTATCTGTTGTTAAGGACGCACTTTTGTGAATCCAAACTATTGCTATAAATCTTCACAAACTTATAAAAGCCATCATACACTTATTCTTTATATACGGAAGTCTCTTATTTAGTTACAAAAAAAATCTTTGCAAATTATTTCTTGAGTTGTAAACAGTTTGCAGACAACCAAACTAAGGACAAAATATAACTTCCATAAATTTTATTGATTTTAAATTTAGATTTTCTACTAACGTTCCTTAAATAACTTACTACTTACATTGGTATCGTGAAGTAGATAGGTACTTTGCATATTTATATTTATCACAATGATTATAATTTTATGCTGATTATTATAATAAATACAATGTTGCAAATATTCCACTCGTTTCACTCCCTTAGTATCGTCAGATAAGTAGAAGTCAAAACACAATACTTCAATGTAAGAGACGAAAAACTGAAAAAAAAAAATCTTTAGACCAAGTTATCTTGCCAGCCTAAATCGATTATATTTGAATTATATTTTTTAAACATTTTTTAAGGTCTTTTATTCTATAAGGTCTGCTCCATCATAGCCTAACCTTTATTAGTAATTTTACATACTAAAAATAGACAAAATTATTAACACAGAAATATAGCAATATATATTTTACTTGAATTATATAGATAGAGCATCGAGCCTCAAAAACGGGTCAACTTTTTTCGAAATTTTGTTGAAACAAAAAAAAACCAGCCAGCTTATTTGACAATAAGCTGACTCGTTTTTTTACACATTAAAAAAAATGCAGAAATTATAAGACAAAACAAATATAGAAGTTATAAAGGAATCACTCGTAACTATTTATCGCACAAAATTGTATGAAAAAGTTGGCCTAAATAATCTATTTTACCTTTACTGTATATCAATCCGCGAATATATTTAGCAATCCAAGAATACGCCACCCCTTCCTTTCTCGTGGATGTCGTAAGAGGCGATTAAGGAAATTGAATTATAGAGAGATGAGCAGCAGCGTCCCTCTTAACTAACCTAATAACTTAACCTAATAACTACTAAATACCTCAACAGATTTAAATATATGTGGCTATTTTTTTAAATAGTTTCTTTTGGGCAAAGTAGTTAAATTTTTTTTTTTTAATTATAATTATACTTATTAAATTAATTCACAATAGTAAAGCTGTGTTTTATTTATATAGGCTGCTGAAATATAAACAAAGGCGATATGTCAAAAAATGTATAGAACAGATCTGCATGCAATATGAAATTCCCTTATACATTGTTACGGCTAAAATTTTTCCATACTAATCATTTGAATTCCCAAAGTTTTCCAATAAACAATTTACAATTAAGCAATTGCAATATTCAAAACTCCAATCGGTATACATACAGGATCGATTCGTCCCCGTGTAACGGTTCGTCATATGTGTAAAAATACACATATGACGAACCGTTACACGTTAACCGTAAAAACGCCGTCTTGTGGAGAAGTGTTGAACTTGCAAGAAATTTAAATAATAAATTAATATTTTAATGTTTACAGAAAAATTTATAAAGCTAGAAAACGATCTAACAAAATTAATACTATATGAACGTCCATTTAATATTAATTTATGATGTTTGATATTGATGCATTGTTAAATCGATGATCAAAATGGCTACGGTAACCACTTACCATCGGGTGGGCCGTATGCTCGTTTGAAAAAATTGTACATCATAATGGATCTGAATAAATAAATAATAATAATTTTCATATGAAAATCATATATATTACAAAATTTATAAATTAGAAAATTTAATAAATTTTGAGTAGGATTTAGTGAACTTATAGGCAAATACAATAAGGACTTAAAATTAATTATTTCTCTGTCGAATTTTACAGAAGAATAGGAAGTTGGAAACATATTCTACATTTTTACGTGAAAAGGGCGCATTGCGTATATAAATTAATAGAAATTCAATAATTATAAGATATTATTTAATGATAAAAGTTAGTAATAAAATAAGAAAGCATTATCGTGAAAATATGATTACTAAATTAACTTTAAAAAGAAAATCTATTTAATCGGACACTAAATTTACTACCACAGATACACTATGAATTGAATGATATTTTATGTACATAGGTGAGAAGAATTTAAATTTATCTCCTGAATAGGAAAAATAATGGAAGAAAGGATAGTAATTAATGTTATAGTAGATTAAAATTTAAATTATATATGTGATGAATTTGATAAA